TAATTGAAGTTCTGTGTGCAGTTCTGGTCACCATAGTATAGGAAGGATGTGATTGCATGAGAGGGGGTGGAGAGAAGATTTACCAGGATGATGCCTGAACTGAAAGTCTGAGCTTTGACAAAAGGTTGAATAGGCTGAGGTTGTTTTATTTTTGAAGCAGTGAAGGTTGAAAGGGGAACTGATAAAACTGCATATGATTATGAGAGACAGAGACAAGGTGAAAAGGAAGACACTTTTTCCATTAGTCAAGGAGTCAATAACCAGGAAGCACAGATTTCAGGTAAGAAGTTGAAGGCTAAGAGGACAGCTGAGAAAAAATTGTTTTCACCCCAAGGATGGGGGGAAACTGAACTCACTGTCTGAAAGGGTGGTGGAGTCAGAAATTTATATAACATTTAAGCAGAATCTAGCTGTTCACTTTGCCTTCAGGGCTATGGGACATGAGCTGGAAAATGGAATTTGTGCGGTCTGATCTTTGTTGACACGCACAGATATGATAGGCAGAATGGCCTCCTTGTGTGCAGTAAAATCTAAGTCTATGTCTCACTCTGCTGATGCATATCAATAAGTACTCTAATTCTGCTTTTTGCTTTTGAGTGCATAATAACTACCCCCAGTGATTCGTCTGTACTCCTTTCTGTGGTATATGATCTGTTTCTTATTGATCCACATCAAACTAATTTGGTCCAAAAATGATGCATAGTTGGATTGCCACAAAAGACTCCTGTGCATGTAATCATTAAGAACAGGATTTCTGGTACTCTTGCCTTTTATCTCCTTCAGGTTCAATCATCTCACAGGTGGCTATGCAACCATTTCCAAATTATGGGTCATTCTCTGTATCAAAGGTTGTTTGGGAAAACATAGCCATAGCAGCTCCTTACAAGCTACACATTCTTCTGACATTTGTCAGCTGGAATTCAGTTAAGGATAGTGAGATTTCCTTCCCTAGTGGACATCAGTGATCCAAATAGGTTTTTACAATAATGGTTTCATGGTTGCCAGTAGGCTCAACTTTAATTCTAGTGTTATTGATGAAATTCAAATTTCACCATCTTTCATGAAAGGATTCAAACCCACATCCCCAGAATATGAGACTAGGATTCTGCTTTGTGTGACTAAGTGACTTTACCAGTATACATCCAGGCGTACAAAAGTACTTACTAGGTAGATCAATATCCCTACAAAGTGCAGTCAAGTGTTTAGGAGCAGGAGATATTTTATAAAAAGTTAGTAACATGAATGCCAAGATGAACAGTTTAAGAGGAGGTAAAGAAAATATACAGACCAGATAGATAACATCTCCAAGGCAATCCTGAGATAGTAGGAGCTGTGGATGTTGGAGAATCTGAGATAACAAGGTGTAGAGCTGGATGAACACAGCAGGCCAAGCAGCATCAGAGGAGCAGGAAAGCTGACATTTCGGGTCTGGACCCTTCTTCAGAAATGGGGGAGGGAAAGGGGATTCTGAACTAAATTGAGAGAGAGGGGGAAGTGGATGGAAGATGGTATCAATGTGGACTTCACATTTCGCTTGGGAACCCTGCAGCCCAATGGTATCAATGTGGACTTCACTGCAGGAACAGCACCTAATATTTCTCATGGGAACCCTGCAGCCCAATGGTAGCAATGTGGATTTCACATGCAGGAACAGCACCTCATATTTCGCTGGGGAACCCTGCAGCCCAATGGTATCAATGTGGACTTCACAAGCTTCAAAATCTCCCCTCTCCCAACCACATCCCAACACCAGCCCAGCTCGTCCCCGCCTCCCTAACCTGTCTGTCCTTCCTCCCACCTATCACCCCTCCCACCCACACTCCTACCTACCAGCCTCATCCCGCCTCCTTGACCTATCCGTCCTCCCCGGACTGACCTATCCCCACCCTAACTCCCCACTTACACTCACCTTTACTGGCTCCATCCCCGCCTCTTTGACCTGTCTGTCTCCTCTCCATCTATCTGCTCCTTTATCCATCTTCCATCCGCCTCCCCCTCTCTCTCTATTTATTTCAGAATCCCCTTCCCCTCCCCCATTTCTGAAGAAAGGTCCAGACCTTAAACGTCAGCTTTCCTGCTCCTCTGATGCTGCTTGGCCTGCAGTGTTCATCCAGCTCTACACCTTATTATCCAAGGCAATCCTGCTTTTCACTGGTGGTTACACAGTACTCTTCTTTACTTCAGTGCTGACACCAGTCAGGAAGTCCTATCACTGCACCTCCACAGTGCTGTCAATATCATGCCTTATGGTATTAAACCCCACATTGGGAACTGTTGTGCTGCAAGATGACATAGGAACAAACAACATTCTGTTCATATATTCCATAACCATGAACCCCAATTCACATTCGCTGGGTATTGTAATGTTGACTACATTGTACCTACATGTCTCCTTTCGTGCTCCAATGTTTACTAAACCGAGCAATGGGGTGGGGTGCTCCATGTTCAAAAACAGAGGAAATACAAGATTAATTCATGCATGACTATATTAGAGTCTGACCATACTCCCGGGTAAACCTTCACTCACAGAGCTGTTTCAGTAATATTTCACCATGGCTTCTGGGTGTAGATCCCCATAAAGGAATATCCCCATCTTCAATCAAGTTTAAATTGTCCTGTACCAATAAAAATCAAGATGTAGATATTTGCTCATCCATTCTTTATATCAGCTCAAAATCAAATTACGCCTGCCATTTTATGATTAGAAAATTATACGAAATTTAAAAATTAGTCTTATTGCACTGACATGTTTTGTTAATGTTCAATTTATATTCCGTCAGTTGAAGCATTTTTTGTAAATCTAGAAACCAACTAGACTGACTTTTCATTCAGATTTTCTTCTTGAAAATGTGATTATCCCCTTAAACTTCAGGTACTTTTCCCTGAGTAATTAAAATTGCAACTCATATTGATTTATTTTATTAATCTCAATTTCAGAAACATTTACGTGCATGCTTGGTTTTAAATTGTGATTTATATCCGAGACAGAAGGGCTTACAATAAGTTTAATCCAAATTGTCATCATGCTGTGCTTTAATTCTGATAACTGTTGAATTTCTTGACCCATCATCAGTAATCAAGCAGACCCAAAAACTACTGCCCCTTGTTAACAAACAACGTAAAGGATGGAATCTACCTCTCCTGGAAAGCAGCAGGGAGATGGTGGTAAGGGAAGAAAATTGGGCAGGTAGGTATCACAGATGCGAAATGCTAACACAAGATTTCTGTCAGGAAGGTTCAAACTCAGTTTCCCTGCCCACTGCCAATTTGAAGCCCTCCAGTGGTCAATTAATGACCATTTAAGGAACTCATCCCACCTAGCTGCACTGACTTCAATTACAAATGGGATAAGAAAGATGCTGTCCACCTGACTGTTAAATAAGTGTCGGCAAGCTGTCAGTTGTGGGTTGGCACCTCAGTCTCCAATAATTTGTCTAAGACTGAGGGACTGGACCTGTAGGTGAGTTGCATTTGAGACTAATCCTCTTTAGTTGCTTCCAAACCCTTTGCACCCCTCTTCCTGCAAATACCCATCCCCAGAAACTCTGCTCAAATGACACCTATATTTCTCAATAGTGATCATGATGCTTGAATGCAGGGCCTGCAGTCCTAGCAGCCTTAGCCTCTGTTGTGCCCTGGAGTTGCTAGCCTCAGATTGGCCAGCAGCTGCAGGTGGGTTGGACTTCCTGTTCTACAGATCTAATTTTGACAGAAAGCTTACTAACAGTCAGTCAGCTGCCTGATTGCCAGAATATCCTTCTGGAACCACTCTTGCTTTCAGACTTAGTCCAAAAATGGAAAACTTCTGGTCAAAGAATCCACTTGGCACTGCTTAGGGGCTCAATGGGTTAATTTGTCCAATCATATTTGTAGATTCCAACTGTTAACAAACTTCTGGCTTTACTTCGAAAGAGATTTTCTGCCAAAATGTTAATAGAACTAGAATCACCTGGAATGTCCCAAATTCTTGTCGTTTACACCTATATGCTAACATTAACTATCACTCTGGATGAGGACGCTTATAAAATCTCCTCTTCCCATTCATTGTTTGATTCCCGACCACCATTAATAACAGGATGTGGCAGGACTGTGGAGTTTTTATTTGATTGTTTGTGGGATCACTTTGCTCTATCACATGCCCTGTCTTGGTCTCAATCTTGTTCAGATGGCGAAATTTGTCAAATTAGTCAAAGTCAATAAACAATTGGCACTGGACCAGACAGCTGTGAATCAACAGGTCAAAGGACACCTGCTAAAAGATTACATGGGCCTTCTTAGACTTCTGGTGGATCCCAAACAGAAAACTGAATCTATTTGGCATAAGAAATTTGTTTCACACTGTCAATAAGAGACAGTAGCTAGTGAGCCACAATTGGATCTAGAATGATGTTGTGAAACTTGAGGCGATTCAGAAGAGATTTACAAGGATGTTGCCAGGGTTGGAGGGTTTGAGCTATAGGGACAGGCTGAACAGGCTGGGGCTATTTTCCCTGGAGTGTCAGAGGCTAAGGGGTGACCTTACAGAGGTTTATAAAATCATGTGGGGCATGGATAAGGTAAATAGGCAAAGTCTTTTCCCTGGGGTGGGGGAGTTCAAAACTAGACGGCACAGGTTTAAAGTGAGAGGGAAAAGATATAAAATGGACCTAATGGGCAACTTTTTCACGCAGATGGTGGTGCGTGTATGGAATGAGCTGCCAGAGGAGATTGGGACAATTACAACAGTTAAAAGGCATCTGGTTGTGTATAGAAGAAGCGTTTAGAGGGAAATGGGCCAAATGCTGGCAAATGGGATTGAATTAATTTAGAATGTCTGATCAGCATTAACGAGTTGGACCAAAGGGTGTGTTTCCATGCTGTACATCTCTATGCCCCTAAATGTGATAGGAGCAAAAGAGTGCCCAAGAGAATGTTTCATTATCCGTAGCTATTGTGTTGGAAGATAGCTGGAGCAAAGGTCCAGTACACTGGCAATGAACATATGTTTTGTGTGTCAACAGCGTTTCATAATAATCGACAACTTACTGGAAAATGATGGAAGACTGTTCACTTCAGGAAGATGTCCTAGAAAAGATGATCAAGAACACTTGGAGATCGCAAGATTCCGGGTCGGAGCATGATCAATGCTATAGTGGCCTTGGATCTCAGAGGATACTGATGATCAGATAGCTCATTGTGAAAAAAAATTCCACTGAAATGTGCTCAGGTTGCAAGATCCAGCAAGGTTTGTGAGGAGAACCAAGACAGTCAATGAACTGTATACGCCACTTGAGCCAATTAACTGATCGTTACTGATTAGACACAGAATGAAACACAGATCAATGAATAGCTAGCTATGACAGATTTAAGTCTGATGTCAGATGCTGAAGTGACAAGGGCAAGTTCAAGCAGCATATTTGACTTTGCAGATTTTCCAGCCAGAGCCCTTGGTGAGAATGACAAGAGTTCATGCCAAAACAGAAAAAGATCTTCAATTAGCAGGACTGAGGAAGAGAACAGGGTTTTGTTTTAACTTATAACACCATTATCACTAAAGTTGAAGGAGAGAGTCAACAAGTGGAAATTAAAGAGTCTATACATACATAGATTTACCAGCAGATTGAAAACAAAAATCTGCTGACACAAACTGGAACTGTGGCACATAAAACCTCATGGAAGCCATCACTGAGCAGAGATGATCGATGTCCAAAGATTCAGGACACAGTCAAGGAAAAGTTGCCTAACTCAGAGATCCAGGATAGTTAAAAAAAATAAATTGCCTACTTCAACAGAACAACCATTCTCCATGAAGGAAATGCATACAATTAAAGTTCCTTTAGTTTGGAAGGACTTTCAGCTCTAAAACTGAACCAAAGTAAAAAGTCATCAACCCAAATACTTGCCAATCTTCCAAGTCTGAAGAGTACACATTCTGGGTGACATAATGTGACTAGATACACTGATGATTTGTAACTAACATACTGTGATATTTATGTTAGCTCCCATAACATAAGGACAAGATGTGAGTCACATAGTACTGAAGAATTCAATGAACTTTTGTATCAGCTCATGGTATTTATATATGTACACCACAGTCATTGATAATTGCATGTCGGGCTCAAGCTGGCAATTCGGATATGCTGTAGAACCTTTCCCTCTGTGTGTCATGGTGCAAGAGGATAGAGTTCAGTAGGATGGAGACTGAGATCTTTATATCATTAGATTACAACCAATAATACAGTGATAATATCATGAGCCCATAACTTCAATGTATAATGTACATTTCCAATGCTGGGAGAATAACAAAAGCTCAATTTGCCTGAATTTGTGAAGACAGACACTTGGTGAGGAGATGGGATAGTGGTAGAAGTAATTATATGTACAAGTGTTTAAATATTCATGGTAGGATAAAAGCATCAGGTAGATGTTGTGTAAGGGTTTAAGGGTCTAAAAAAGTTAATACTGAGGAGTACCTTAAGCACTTTGGGCCTAAGGGAAGAAAAGATTTAGATATTGAAGGAGTAAAACCTACTATTGAGGTCTCCTTCATACTGTTCAACAATATCTGTCATATTAACAGTTAACCATTCTGCTAGATATACCTGTCAGATTAGATCAACTTAGTCAGCAGTGTTGCTACTCTTGGTAATGGACAGTTAAATGCTTCACCTAAAGTATCTCTGTGCCATTGTTACCATCAGTGTTTCTGTCACTTGGCATTCAATATAAAGAAGTATTAGTTCATTATATAATGGATCCTTCAGCTGCAGGTTGCTATGGCGTTGTGGAAGAGAGCTCAGCAGTTCGCTATTACCCCCACCAGCAGATGGCAATGGTGAGGGAGGCCAGCTGGAGCAGTTATACTGCCTCTTGATGGAGAAAAAAGGTGTTCTCAGTGGAGGGAGGGTTAATGAGAAGGGGAGCAGTCAAACAAAATAATTCCTTGGCTCACTGTAACTCATAGTATAAATAGTTCCTTGTTTATCCTTAATTTCCCTTTCTGTTTGTAATGACTTGATTCTTGTCCTATAAATTACCCCTGCTTCATGATCTTTGGGCAATTCATGTGTTCAAATCTCATGTTGCATTTTTGACATAGTTGGCAAATTTCATAGCATAAATAAAGTCATGGCAGACGAGATGGAGAGGGGCCTGGCTAAGATGAAGCTGGTGATAAAGTGGGCAATGTCTATGAGGGAAGCTGAAGCTGCTCAGGGATCTTTAAATACTTTGTATTGGCAGAGGAATTCAGGCCCTTAGGCCAAACCCAGGCAGAAACTCTCCACCTACCTTCCTTTTATTCTATGGAGGAGAAGTTTTATCCCTGGTTGGATACTTGCTGATGAGTGGGAAGCTATACAGGTTCAGGGAAGACCAAAAACTCATGACGATCTGGTGATAGAAGCCTAGATTGAGGAGACACAGCTGGTCATGGAGTCCAGGGGCCTCAACATGAGTGAGCCAGTGGCATTCATCATTGAAGGCTCATTGGCAAAGATTTGGAAGCTGCACAGATGTTAAAAGAAATCCGCAGAAGATCTTTGAGGTACTGACGAGGGCTTTTGGGGACAATAGCTTGGCACAGAGGTTTTATGAGTACAAGGAAGCCAGTGGGGAAGATTTGGTTTCTGTGTCCCTTCTGTTGCATTGTCCACCTGAATCTCTCCTTCCTTTTCCAGAACAGGATTTTGAACAAGCAGCCAACAGAAGCAGAGAATGTCAAAACAGAGTTGAGGAGGCTTACCAGGGACAAAACACAATGATATTTTCTTTGAAGCATTGAATCACATGACCAGAATATGGGAAAAGATTGTGACCCTAATACCAGGAAAGGAGCTGCCACTAGAGAGGAGACTGTGGGTGCAGATGGGGATGTAGACCTCAGGCTGGAAAGGCAGGCTCAGCAAGATTGCTACACAGCAAACTCAGACCCAGTCCTTGTTGTCTTATCCACATAATAAGCTTCATGGACAATTCTGCCCAAGGAATGCTATGAGGTGTTGGAATTGTAACAGAACTGAGCATTTCAGAATCAACAATCATGGCCACCAACTGCTGTCAAGCACAGAAACCCCATCCAGTGCATCAGCCTTCCCTTCTCAGAAGGTTTGAACCACTGAAGTTCCTTCGGAAAGAGGCCGTCTTATGTAGAGTAATAGGGAGTTGCCCCATAGTATGCATTAAATTTGGCAAAGTAGAAGCATTTGTGTAATTGACACTAGAATGAGGTGCCCACCATTAGTCACCAGATTTTCTGTGAGCATCTGGCCAAGGAGTGTGGGCTGATTGATGTCTATTCCCTCACCCAAGTCTCTGCTTCACAGGGGCTAAACATCCCCTACCATCACTACACTATACTCTATCATAATTTTCTTAGCCTCAGCTTCCTCATAGCCCTTGCCGCGATCAGTAGTTCAGTGGAAGTAAGGAAATTGAGATTACTGTAGTGTTGGGATCGAATGTCCTTGTATTAGATAAGCGGACATCCTTGGAAAGCTGTCCGTCTCCTCTCCACCTATCTGCTCCTTTATCCATCTTCCATTCGCCTCCTGCTCTCTCTCTATTTATTTCAGAATCCCCTTCCCCTCCCCCATTTCTGAAGAAGGGTCCAGACCCAAAATATCAGCTTTCCTGCTCCTCTGATGCTGCTTGGCCTGCTGAGTTCATCCAGCTCTACACCTTGTTATCCTTGGAAAGTTGATCTTTTACCTGCGCACACCATCATTGTTATGAATCATAGAATCCCTACAGTGTAGAAACAGGCCCTTTTACCCAACAAGCCCACACCAACCCTCAGAGCATCCCACCCAGAGCGTCCCCCTATAGCCCAACTAATCTACACATTCCTGAACACTACGGACAATTTAGCATGGCCAATCCATCTAGCCTGCACATCTTTGGACTGTAGGAGGAAACCAGAGCACCTGAAGAAAACCCGCGCAGACGTGGGGAGAATGTGCAAACTCCACACAGTCACCCGAGGGTGGAATTGAATCTAGGTCTCTGGTGCTGTGAGGCAGCAGTGCTGACCACTGAGCCACCATGCTGTCCTTGAATCTCATGCCAGCCTTCTCCAACAGGACAACATTAGATCTTGTTGGAGCATTGAGTCACATGTAGCAGAGCTTCCACTTGGTGTACTTCTGGGGACTGCCCTCCCTTCAGCACTGTAGGAGAGTAGGGTACTCATTCAGATTGTCAATTTCAGCGACATCTGACCAAGAATGCCCATACATGTCCTTAAACCTGCCACTATCAAGGACAGTGACTTAAAGAGATATCTCCAACCACATTTCAAAGATAGATGCTGGTTGGAGGAGACTGAGAAGTAGCAGCTTGTTCCTACTCTGGCCATGGTGTGATGACTTTGGTAAAGATGATGACATTTGGTATTGAGACCTGATAAGCCACAGTGTTGTGACTAATGATGACCAGCTAGTAAAGATTCGTTATTGTTGGATCCCACACCATCACTGGATGGAACTGCAGGACTGCCTGCAGAAATCTTTGGAGTGAGGTGACATCTGAGAGTCATCAAAATCCTACCATTTCCAAATAGCCCTCGTGAGGAAGAACGATGGAAAACCAAGGATTTTCATCAATTATCAGGTACTCCATGCAAAGACTCAGAAGGATGCTTATCCCCTACCTCTGTAAGGTAAGATTATGTGAACATTATCATGTTAGCCTGCTGTTTGACTAGTTTTGGGACAGCTGTTCCAATTTAGGCACAAGCACCCAGAAATTAGGAAAGGTGTCTTTGCAGAGTTTCCTAGTCTGGATGTGTCTTTATCATGTGGGATTTTTAGTTCAGTGTTATTTGCTTCCTTGAAGTGGTTAGATGGTGCATTGACATTACAGATTTCTATGGGTTTAGAGTCATGTAAAGGCTAAGTTCAGTGAGGACAGCAGGTTTCCTTTAAAAGACACTTGTGAACCAGATGAGATTTTACAATTCTAGATTTGTCTGACTAACTAGATTTAAATTGCTCGATTTAAATTGTTTTTCATTCAAATTGGTTCTTTCTTGTGTTAAGTCTACCATCATCTGTGTTTATCTCCTCATCAGAATCCATTGTGCATACTACGTCTGATGTCATTGCAGAATTTTGCATTTCTATTTAGGAACACTGGTTATGCTTTGCTAAGATTAATGAATAAATATTTGAACTTTACACAGTTCTTCCAACTTTGACAATTCTGGGGTAGGATGCTAATGAAATTGAGTCATGGATAGTTGAAGATACAAAATTAATTCATTGATCACTACATCTGTGTTCCATATTTTTAGTGACATTTTGTCTTTTGCTGATGGCTACATTTGTAATCTAAGGCTGCAAATTATATCTTCAGTACCAGTTGCTGGAACATAAGTAACAGAAGTGTGGAATTTATGAGTTTTAGTGGGCAAAACTGTAGAAGTAATATTGCAGTGTTGAAATTGTAAGTTATGGTAGGTCACGTGTTATAGTGGGGTTAATATAAAACATAGATGCATTGTTGCTTTCTGTTGTGGATTCTTAATATTTTATTTCCAAAGCCTGCCTCCTGTGTTATAAAATTCTACTAATCCCCTGCAATGGAACACATTTGTTTTTCTTTATAAAATTAGTTATATAACAAAGCAATTTTTTTATTATTGTTGTTTAACCTAATTGTTACTGCTGCTAAGCAATAATCCTGTCAAAAGGTGGAGATATCTTCAACCAGCACATACCTATGTAAAGATCAATGTTTAAACTGGCTCAGTGTTTTCATTTAGTTGGTGTCTCTGTTAAAATCAAGCTTTGCCCAAGTTGCTCATTCTAAATGATACCAAGACTTCCAGTGTGCACGTAAAGCAATTATTTGTCTGGTAGCATTTCACTGAAGCCAGCACTGAAGGAGCTATCCCTGCCATATTAAGCTCTGCTGATAGTTTTAATGGAATGGAGGGTGGTAGTTTAACTTCAATATTCTGAGTAAAGGGATTTATAGCCCACAGGACCTTAAGAGATTGTGCCATGAGGTTTTTTTTAGTTTCTTCATTGCATATGGACACACTGGGCAGTCATTTATAGGCCATCCCTAAATGCCCTGGGGAAGGTGGTGGTAGCTGCCTTCTTGAACCATATTCAGACTTTGAGCAGACACATGTGCAATGTTGTCACAAAAGGAGCTCCAGGATTTTGATCCAGCTACAGGTAAAAGAGCAATAATATTTCTTTTTTCAAAATATACTTTATTCATAAAAAATATCTTTGTATGTATATATAGTCACAAAATCAGTTCGATTCTGTACAGTAGCATATCAAGGAAACAAACAAACAAACATTGGAGATAACAAGGTGTAGAGCTGGATGAACACAGCAGGCCAAGCAGCATCAGAGGAGCAGGAAGGCTGACGTTTCGGGCCTGTTGGAGTTTGACTCTATCCAAACAAACCAAAGGCATCCCTTACTTGAATTAGACTATATTTACATGGATTTGAGGCACCAGGAGGGTCCAGTAACTGAACGGTTCCCCTTTTAACTTCAGCAGAAAGACTTCAGATAATGATCTTTCTCCATTGCACCTTGGCAACTGCTTTCCTAAGCTTTAGTGCATCCCTCAGCATGTATTCCTGGATCTTGGAATCTGCAACACTCAGTCGAGGTCAACTCCTTGTTCTGGAAGACCAACAAGTTTTGGGCAGACCAAAGAGCATCTTTCACTGAGCTGATAGTTGTCAGGCACAGTTGGTGTTTGGCTGCAGTTGATGCAGCCGCTTCGAGGGCAGTATGCAATGATGCAGATTGACCGGGTATGCAAGAAGGATCACATCGGTAGTGCCTTTCTCCCCACCAGCCAAACAATGTCTTAGTGCTTGTTGGAAAAGTTCTGGTGATGAGGCATTCTGCCAAATGATTTTGACAGTCTGCTTAAGGAACCACGTGACAAGATCCACCTCACCTTTTCCACAGGGTCTCGAGGATGCTACGTGCTGACCATTTCCTGATGGACTTGTGGTCAAAGGTGCTTTTCTTTGCAAATTTCTCCATGAAGGACAGGTAATCTGGAACAGTCCAACTACTTGGAGTGTTCCACTGCAATGAGGCCAATCCTATGCTGAGCAACACTCTGGGCAGGTAGACCTTCAGTATGTAGTGACATTTGGTGTTTGCATACTGAGGATCTATGCATAACTTGATGCAGCCTACTCCAAGTCAGGGTGGTGTGTGACTTGGAGGGGTTCTTGCAGTTGGTGGTGAAGTTCCCATGTGCTTGCTGCTTTCATTGTTGTAGATGGTAATGATTATGGATTTGGAAGATGCTGTTGAAGGACCCTTGCTGAATTCCTACAGTGTATCTTCAAGATGGCACACACTGCTGCTACTGAGCATTGGTGGTGAAGAAAGTGAATATTAAAAATGGTAGATTGAGTGCCAATCAAATGGACTTCTTTAGTTTCAGATTTCTAGAAAATAAGATTTCAAATTGTATGGGCAAGAAAAGTTTTAAATTTACATGGACAAGAAGTATCCACAAAATTACATCAAAGTCAGTGGGTAAAACCTTACATTTATTTGGTTAAGTCCACGTTGCATCAAACTTTTGGGGATTTCCATCATGAGACCTATTGAGATTCCTCACTATCTTACCAAACTCAACTCATTGACTACCTACCCTGACTCTATACCATCTGTCACATGCAATTCCAGTTGCATCTTAGCAAATGGCATTCCTGGAACAACTTACCACTCAGCACATATCACAGATTTTAATGGCTCCCTTACAGTCATGCTATCTTTAAAAGCCCAATGTGCATCCAGACAAGCACTGTCAATCTGGAGCCCTGCACGATTTCTGACTCTTGTGCCAGCCATGGAAGACAGTGGTAAATCAGCATGGACCTGCTGGACAGGATAGTACAGGGACAGAATTTCAACTTCTCCCAGGAGTGGAAGACATGATGCCAAACCATGCCTTACTGATCCTCATTACTACCAGGATCAAAGCAGTCTTAGCTGTTTGGAGGAATGCACATCGTTGTAGGAAGAAGGTCAATGTCCTTCTCTGCTTGCCAGCAAAGGTGCTATCATCTTCTCCAATACCTCACACTCACTCTACCTTTGCTACTGTACCCACCACCCACCAAGGCTCATGCTCTAATACTTTCACTAATGCTGGCAACGTCTTCACCACCCACTGTAACCTACTTCAACACCTGAGACCATTCTCCCACATGCCCTTTGTGTGCCTACTCAATCACATAGGAGAGCTCTGCACCTGCAGCAAAACTAACAGCTGTGCCACTCATTTTCATCTTTCATAATACCTGGCTCTCTCTCATTCTGGGAAGTAAACAAACCCCAGCAGGGCAGAAGGGCTGAAGATGGGTGGTGGGCTGTTCATCTAGCTTCTGACCCCTTATGAGGAGAGTTTCCTGACTTTGACCACCCCAAGTGGCTGTCTCTTTCCAAGCTCCGCGACTGGTTGTGAAGGCTGCCCTTAACTGACTGTGCCAGGACTCCCTGAGTGAAGGCTAACCCCTTGACTTGACTGAGACCTGCTGACAAACATGAAAAACTTCTCTCCTGGTAACAGCACAAGAACAGTGACATGA